TCTGGGGGACAGATCTGTTCCAGACCTAGGTGCTAGCCCATTGACACTTGGGTACTGGGAAATGGAGAAGAGGTCACACATACATGAAAATGCCTTTTGTAGAGTGATAGATAAACCTGGTTGTTACTTCAGGGAAAGAGGAGCCGGGCGTTGCTGGGAAGCATCACTTGTACAGCTTACATGGCTTAGGTAGGGGATTAGATTGTAAGACTTACGAAGTTAGAGAAGCTAGCTTCCTGTTTGCAGGTGATGAGAGCCACCGCTATCTCCTTAAGCAGAGCAGCTGTGTTCCAGAAGCGGGTCCAGGACACAGTATTTCCTTTGCCTTACCTTCTGCACTATTTATTTCTCTTGCTGGCAAATGTGTCCTAATGAGTGTTGCTGAACCCAGTGCTTCTCAAGGTCAATGATCACTTGCCCTTTGAGGAGAGCTCGTGTTTGTTTAAAAGGCATACCTGTTCTCTTGTCTCTTGCTTTTCAGTTGCTGGCCTCGCTTTGACATCAGCGCTGCTCTTACAGAGTGTCTACTGTGAGGTCCTTTAGTGGGGCTAGAAAGATAGCCCATAAACCCACGAGTAGTAACAAGACAACTCCGGTTTATCTCGTGCGTTCTCAGAATGTAGGTTACTTTAGTGACTCCTAAAGTCGCAGGAGTTTCACACTAACAGTGAGCAAGCAGTAGTTTCAGAGCAAACTTGACGGGCAGTCCTCTAACCCATTTCTTTCCCTGTTCCACGGGCAGTACAAGTATATCCCACAGGCTGAGGACTCGAGTTTCAAGACTCCCCTGGCCCCTGTCTGGTGCCAGTTGTGAGCCTCAGGTTGTTTTTGCTTGGTTGGCTCACAGATTTCAGGCAAACATCGTTACCTGTACTAATTCATTGTAGAAGACATTCCACAGGGTGCACATGAGAGAGTGCCTCAGATGAGGTGTGGGAGAGGTCAGGTATGGAAGAGTCCTGTGCCCCTTGGGATGCATCTCTTTCTAGGAACTCCCACATGTTCACTTGTCCAGGAGCTATCCAAACCGTATTAAACCTTTGGGATTTAATTGAGTGTTCATTTTATAGGCATGGATGCCTCGCCTACTGGATAAGAGTGTACAGTCTTATGCTAGCATACTGAGTGGGGAAACCCAATTGCCGCTTGTTCAGGTTTTTCCTGGACTCTGTAGAATTTCTTTCTCTCAAGCAGTGATTCTCAGCTACCCTAATGCTGCAACCCTCGTGTTGTGGTGACTCCCAACCGTAAATTATGTTCGTTGCTACTTCATAACTGTCATTTTGCTACTGTTATGAATTGCAATGTAAATATCTATGTTTTTCAATGGTCTTAGGAGCCCCCTGTGAATGGGTCATTAGACTTCACTGTTCCATAGTAAAGGGCAGAACTCCTTTGAAATGGAGTTCCTATGACCTATTATGGGACAGGGTTGGTCAAAGAATTACAGGTTATCGTTGATTTTCTTTTTGTGTTGGGATTGAAACTTTGGGTATTTGCTGTTGTGACTGCAAATCCCATTTGGATGCGTTTCCTGCATTCAAGGACAAGAAATGCTGTGAACCAATTCTCTCTATAGTAGTGGTCAGATCTGGCTTGTGCTGCTCTGCTTCCCTCCTTGGAATTGAGGACTTTTTATATTCTATAGCATGTTATTACCACTGATGTAAAAATGACCTTAAATTGATGCAGTTAAATTCCAGTTTTGTTCAAAATCCACAGAGAGAACTCAAGAATGGAGCTGTAGCTCTAAATCACTTCTGTGGCCCCTCACAAACACTGGTGAGGGGTGCAGTCTTCAAGGTGCACATTTTACTTGCACTGGATTGGTACAGGGACAAAACGATGAAGCAAACAGTAGCCTCACTTCTGGAGTATTTACCATGTGTCAGGCACTGTCCTGAGGACTTAACATGCAAACCACTTTGCAGGTGATGAAGTTGAAACCCAGAGAATTACATTATTTGGCCCAGCTATGCAGCTAGAAGAAAAGGACTTGATTGATTGATTGATATGCACCCTGCCTCTGAGAGCCTACAGTGGAGCTTGAGAGTTCCTGTCTTGTTCCCCAGGGGAAACAAGGGACTGAGAGTTTACTGCTTCTCCGTTCAGGCAGACTGTATAATTTTCTATAAAAAAAAAAGAAAGAAAGAAAGAAAGAAAGAAAGCTAGCATAGTTAAGAGCATACTGTAAATGTGTAGAATTGTGTCTGGATTTTGAACCAGGGAATACATCAAAGCTTCATGAGTAGAGTGTAGTGGCTCAGTCTTTGATCACAGGACCCTGGAGGTAGAATCAAGGAGATCTCTATGAGTTTGAGGCCAGCCTGTGTAGTGAGATCCAAGGTAGGCCAGAGCTACATACTGAGACCCTGTCTGGAAAAAAGAAACAAGCAAACAAGCAAAAAATACAACAAACCCCTCATGGATACCTGTAATACTGTGTAGTCTGCTGTGTAAATGTATGTTTTCTTTGGGGATTTGGTTTGCTTGTATGTTCTTTTATGTCATCCTTTCTGTATTCTTTCAGCCCCCCTCTCTTTTGTTAAAAGTGTCTCAAATACATTTTGTATAAAAAGGGATTGTTTCTTACCTTTACAATTGCTTTTTAGTGACAAAATTCCAAGAATAAAAATGTAAAGTCTGGCATTTTGAATCTGTTAACAGACAATTTGGCTGGGTTGATTTTATTAACGAATTGTACTAGGTTATTCATCTTTGTTTGTGTAGAAGAATGCCTTTGTCACTTAGTCCTCACAGTCTCACTCAATTACTTGCATTTCTTTCATATAGAGGGTATTTTAAAGATTCTCCACAGCACCGATCCATCTTAATGCTGTGGGAACTTCTAAAATACCTTTGCAAATACGATTTTGAGGCAGTATTTGCACAGTATTGCGAATATCTGAAATTGCTGCTATTAAAATGTCTTGTTTTATGTAAGTTTCAGCTGAATAAAGACATTTGTTTACATGTATGTGCAGTGAAGAAGTGCCTGTGTGTGCATGTATGTGGACCTTCACACGGGCAGAGCTGCAGCACCGAGCATACACTGTGAGCCTTGAAGTGCTGCAGATTTCTGCGTCACACTCTTGAGAGCAGGCACTGAATGTACAATGAGTGCTGCTGGTTACTTTGTGCTTTGCCGAGTTTGGCCTCTCAGGGGTTAACACAGTTTACCGCAAAGCAGTATTTTCCTTGCCCGGGAAGATGGTGTCCTGCCGACATTGCAGTGCAGCTGTGACGCACTCTCAAATATCCCAGCTCAGGAGACACACGTCTGGGACCAGCTCAGTGAGGAGATGAAACTGACATCCATCCCAAACGTCCCTGAATTCTTTAAAAGAGGAGCCAGCAGTGGTCTGGTGCTATGACTAGCCAGAAAAAAAATTGCTAGTCATATATGTAATACAAAATAATGCCTGCTGGCCAGAGCACGCAGCTGGAGCATGTACGTCTCCAGGCTTGTTAGAGCCCCGCTTCACCTAGTGCTGGGCACAGAAGCACATCTTCCTCCCTAATGCTTCTTCCTTTTTAAAATAGTCAGCTCAGGTTCTTTATGTCTATTTCTAAAAGTGCTAATTATCTCTGAAAAGTACTAATTTTCATATGATTTGTCAAACTATTAAGACCATTAACCTTTGGCTGCGTGTATCTGCTGTAGATAAAATTCACAGTTCTTGACTGCATTTGGAATGAGTTATAGACTCAAAACTTGATTGTTTTCTAATTTTTGTCTTGTCGTGTTTGTTTATTTTGGCTGTGTGCGTCCTAATCTTAGCCTTTCTGTACCTAGTAATTGATAAATATTTTGTGTATTTTCTCATTAAAAATGTTTCCTTGAATCTATTAAAGTCTGATTTGCTTCTAAATTATTGAAGGTAGCCTCAGCTTTTCTTATAGGTGAACAATATAGAAATTGTATTAAGTTCCAAATCCCACTTGGGCTTTGAATTGAACTTTGATAAATTATAAGTTAATTTTAGAAGAATTAATGTTTTTGTGATCATTTTTAAGTCAGAAGCTTATTTTTGTGAAATCCCCCATTTAACATATATTATACACATTTTTAAATTTTAGGCTAGCTTATGTTTATGTATATATATTATTTCTAGTGTAAAAGAAATCTTATATATTTTAGTGCCTTGAATTAATTATTGATTTAATATATCTGGCAACCAATCAATTTATCAAACTTGTATCTAATGATTTTCCGTTCCGTCTCTTGGTTTTTTATATAACTAGTCATATACCTTTAAAATAAATTTCCCAGTGATTAGACACTTTATTTATTATTTAGTTATTTTTTAAATTTTTGCTAGACCTGAAGAAATATTAAATGGCAGTCCCTCCATTTCTGAAGATGTTGAGTTTAATTACCTTTTTAATTAAAATAATCATACAATTATGATCATAGTGTATGTAACATCCTCCTTCATTTGGGTTGATCACGCCGTAGGAAGTCGCCACAACCTTAGAGTTGTTCATAGTCAACTGTTGTCATTAGCAACAGGTTAATATCACCCTCCATTTCCAACGTCGTCATCAGATTTTGCTGCAGTATGATTAACCCTTGCAGCAAACGGAAGAGAATGGCGTCTGATGTGTGGGGGTGGGGTGAATTCATAATGCGTCATTAAAGTCTTACCTTTTATGAGAGGAAATTAAAACCAGATTTTATGTGAAGGAAACCAAAACAGGATAGTTTTTGAATGTCCTGTATTTCTGAATTAAAAAACATTTTTTTTTATTGATAATAAGGAAACACCAAGGTAGGGGATTAATAAAGCTACCATTTTCTGTTGCGTAGCAGGAGAGGAAAAGAGTGGGATTTTCTATCAGGGTCTTTTGTCTTTATTATAATAATAATAGCTGGAAATTACTCTTGGGTGTCAGATACTGCTGTTATGTGCTGGATATAGAATAACTCCTTTTCTTTTCATAATACCTGTGAGGAAGGGACCGTTACCACCCTCTTTTATAGATGAGAACACAGGCAGTCAGAATAACAAGTCTTTTTATTTTTGAAAATACTGTTTTGTTAACACCACAGTGGTAAACAACTTTATGTTTGTACTCTTACAGAACATTGATTCACAGATAATTCAAAACCCACAAAGAAGCTAAAGGCCTTTACATTAAATGTCCTTCCCCAGAAGTCCTTCCTATATGTCCTTCTTCCTTAATTAAGCAATAAAAATGATTATGCACCATTTAATAAGTCACATTTACATAGCAAAATAATGAAGGCACAGCTAATACAAGCAAACTTAAACCCTTTCTATTTCTGAGCTGGGGGTGGGGATACACACTTGGATTGATTCTTCAAGTATATATTTTTTCCAAACATTAGCTTCATTGAGGGGTTCTGATGGTTTTCACAGCTACTTGCTAAAAGCTACAAGACAAAAAGACTTCACAAAGGTCAAACTACGCAACACTGGATACACATGCTTTACGGAATTGCTACATTCTACATCTCTTCAAGTAAATTATATTTCTAAAATGCTCTAAGGTGGTTTACTACTTAAAACATTTTGGGGTAATTTTTTACGATTTCATAAACAAACACTACCAAGAGAACCGAAAACATGAGACCACAAGTGAGCACGTGTTGACAATATTATACATGTAATACACCCTCTGTCTTGCAACCGTGTTCTTTCTTAAATTCAGATATTCAAAACATTTTCCATAACTTTAAATTCCAGTTTCCCTAGCCAGTCGTGTCACTCTGCCCAGGCTTCCTCCATGCCACGTCTCCTCAAGAGTGTCAAGCTGATGTCTGGGTTTGCAAACGCAAAAGTCTTAAAGATGACGCCTTCCTTGGGTTCCTTTTCCTCGGTGCTGAGAAATGTAAAGAAACTGAAGAAATTAAGCATGGAGAAGAGTTCAGTCTTAGCTTGGGTGTTCAGGTGTAGTGTGATGAATGGATTTCAACGTGTGACGCACTTCACATTTAACTGACTGTCTCTCATCAGTCTCAAGTCCAGTTCTCACAGAAGAGCAGGGAGAAAAAAAAATAAGCTTAATTAGCCTTCTCTTAAAAACGTCTTTTGGCATCTGTTTTACACACATAAAAGTCAGATTAGAAACGGGCTAGCCAAAATCTACTTGATTCAATTTAAATTTAGGAATGTCAGAATAGATTCACATGTATTTTGGGCAAAACCTGAGCCTTTTAAAGTCTGCCGACATCGGAAATAAAAGGGGCAGGGGATTTATCACCTGTCAGCCGCTGTGTTCACTTCTTGCCGGTGTCGGGACCCCCAGTTGCGCCAGCTGCCGCCTCTTCTTCGTCCTCCTCCTCCTCGTCCTCTTCTTCCTCATCGTCGTCATCATCTTCCTCCAGGGTCCACGCGCAGCCCTCCATCTCTCCGGTGAGCTCCTGGATCTTGGCAAGCAGGGGCTTGTAGATGTCGTTGTACTTCTTCTCCAGAGCCTGGAACTCCTTGTCAAATTTGGCCTCGATCTTATCGCAGCGCTTCTGCAGCTTTTTGAGCGCCAGGACCCGGCACTTGACGGAATTGGGCAGGCTCTCGATAAATTCGTTCTTGGGCTTGGGCGCATTCTCCGCGGGAGCCTGAGGCTCCTCGGCCACGGGCGCAGCGGCACTGTCGCCGGTTGCCGCATCCTCGCCACCCTGGGCGCCCTCCATCACCTCGTCTTCGGCGCGGCTCTCAGCGGGTCCCTGCTTCTCGGGGTCGGCCATGGCTAGCGTTCGGCTCGGCTGGGCTGGTTTGCCGCAGTGGTCTGGTGATTGCGCAGTCTGCGACCGAGCTGGTCCAGAGAGGTCCTGCAGCTGTGACTGCGGCTGGTCCAGAGTGAGTCTAAGGATGCGGCAAACGCTGACGGCTGTGGTGACGTCCGCGCTGCCGCTTCGCGGCTCGCGGCAAGTGAATGGCTGCTCGCTATCAGCTGATGGTTGTGCGCACATACTGCACCAGATTGTTGCTATGCCGCTATCTCCAAGGTCTTCAAAACCACTTAGATACCCAGCCCCCAACTTCCGCTCCCACCCCTGCAGAGCTGGCTGGAACCAGCTCGAGGCTGAGCCTGTATTTTTCCATACCTGTTTGTACAGCCCCAGCCTGTTTCATGTGTGCCCCCCTCTCCCATCTCAGCCCTTTGAATCCACAAAGCACCTGTGAACCCCTGTCAGAAGTGCGCCATAGCTGATGCTGGTCAGCCTTGGTTATGGGTACCTTCTTTTCTGAATCTTGATTGCGTCTTAAATTTACTTTCAGAGAACAGAAATGCGGGAGAACCATTTTCCTCCCACTCCTTTGCAGACCTGCATATCTGCGTGTATCTGCGTAGGCCATCTTGGACTCCTAGAGCCCCCAGCCAGCTGGCCCTGTTGAACCTAGTTTCATATATCCTGGTTGCAAATTGTCACAGTAGGGACTTTGGAATTAGTTCTAGAAGTGTTTGTGTAGGAAATCTCAGCGCCGTAAGCATCCTGGTAATGTTACCGAAGGCTTCACACAGGTGCCTATGAAAAGGAATGAAGAGAGGGTAAACAGAAGAAAAGCAAAACCCTTGTGAGTGTCCAACCTTGTGACTATGAAAAGACGCCATTTCATCCACATGTGTAGGGGCCTGATTCGTCATTATCTTGGGAAGCTTGCAGCCTCTGGGTGGCAGGTTAGGCAAGCCCGTAAGGGCAAGGGAATAGAGATTTCTTTTCATTCATCTCGAAAAGCATGTGTTTGGTCCTTCTCTTTCTTCCGGACCTACAGATGCGCACGCAACCGTTTGCCACCAAACACTTCACAGTTAACCATCTGCTCTTTGGATCTGCTTGTAATTTGCATGTGCGAGCTTTGGAAAAGACCAGAAATATCAAATGCTGTTTTTCTGATAATGAAATGATTGGGCACTTTAATTTCTCACCCATACAAGCCAGAATTGGAGGATTATTTTTTTATTTAGCCAACCTAGGCTAGCTTCTAACACCCTGATTACAGTGCCCTTGAACTCTGGGTCCTTCCTGTCTCCTTAGAGCTTGAATCAAGGGCAGGGCACAAATCTTAAATGGTTTCTAGAGGATGAGTTTGTTACCGATTTAGGTTTTTCTTTCTCTATGTTGGGTCTTGCCAGAGTTATGCTTATGAATTCTGGAAGGAATTTCTATCTTTTGGTTCTTACGTTTATTAAATTAATTATGTGTAAATCATTTAGTGCTGGTACATAGTAAGCACGGAATAATTTTTATAAAATTACTGCATTAGTATGCAAAAGAAAATTATACATAATGTCTTTTAAAAGCAAACATTTTTGTGTCTCTGATCAAAGAAAGTAAATGCTTACAAAATGTATTTTAATGTACTCGTGAGTCTTTTAGTTTGATTTACTTCCCTCTCCCTTTTTCTTTTTTTAAATTGCATTTATGTATTTATGTGTTGATGAAGTGGTTATGTTTTCTGTGGTGGGAATGTGTGTTAGTCCTATTCTTGCACCATGTATTTTCTGGGGATCTACTAAGATGGTCAGGCTTAGGAGCCACTGAGTTAGCTGCTGAGCCATCCTTTAAGACTTTTTCTTTTTCACTCAAAAGATCCTAAAACTTAGACTAGACTATTGATAAAATTCAGCATTTGGGGAGTGCTTTCACAAGCAAATGCTTTCATGTAAGCACCATGATATAGTAACTTCAGTACCCTAAAATACCCTTAAGGCCCTTCTCCTACAATGCACATGATACATTGATCTGTTTGCTGTCTTAATAATTCTGTATTTCTTAAGTTGTCATGAATGAAATCACATGTAGCCTTTCGGAATCTGTCATTTTCACATGCAAAAGCATTTGATATTCATCTGTACTGTCATGTATTTGTTCCATTATATTGTTGAGAAATGTTTCCAATAGTGTTATTTCCAGCTTTAAAAGATATGAATAATACCACTATGTACATGTCTATAGATTTCTGTATGAACACATCTTTATTTTATATAAATGCCTACCAGTGGGATCTCTGGATTATTTGGTATATTTAACTTCATAAATAGCTGCCACGCTCCTTCCACATGGCTGTGCTCATTTGCTTACATATCGGTGATGGATGAAAGTTATAGTGTTGCACACATTCTGCTTTGAGGTAGAGTCTTAAATATGTAGGCTCGACCTTGACCTCACTGGCTTCAGCCTCTTGAGTACTGGGACGACAGTGCCCCTAGCACCCTTGGTGATGAGTGATTCTGAATATTTCCCGCTGTGCGTGTTTACCATTCTTTCATCTTCTGTTACTTATTTTCTAATTTTAAACTGAGTTTTAAGGTGTTATTTTTATGTATTTTGGATGTGAGTTCTTTGTAAAATATATATTAACATTTTTGATTCCTACTTTTTAGTTTTATAATAGAAATCAGAAGACTTAAAATGATTAGCAATAGACATTAAAATTTGGGGCTGAGGTCATTTTGTAAAATTTTCTTTTGTGGATTGAGCTTTCGGCATAATGCCCAAGAAGTCTTTCCATGATAGTTTAAGCTTCTATTTTAGGCTGTGGCCCATACTGAATTAACTTTTATGTAGGTCTAAGGTTATTTATTTACTTCTTTTGCCTACAATGTCCTGCTGATTCAGTACCATTTGTTGACTTTGAGGACAATACTACTTTTCTGCCACATTGCCTTGGTAGATTGGTTGGAAATCAGTTGCATTTATACATGTGGCTGTTTCTGACTTTTTCTTCTATTGTATCCATTTGCATGTCTGACTTTTCATCAACACTAGACTTCATAATCATAGCTTGATAATAGATCCATGGGTTCAGATAATGAGCCCTTTAACCTGGTTCCTTTTTCAGAATTGTTTGGCCTGTTTTTAGTTCCTTTGCCTTTTATATAAACTTCAGAATCAGGTTGATGTGCTTTTAAAAATGACCCTGAATATGATTAAGATTTCCAAAAAGTGTTTGCAATACATACAGCACTTGTATAAACATGTCTCATTTGGTGGGCTTTATCCACTCTGGTACACAGTCGGGGCTACAGTAACACATAGTGAGGAACAGTGTAGATGAGGTGATGTGTGTTGAACTCTGACCTCTCATGCAACTTCATACAGGAAATGGAAAGAAGGTGGGGGTGAGCTGGGGGAGGGGGCAAATGGGGGAAAGGGGCTAGGTGAAATGGTTATGTTCTCCAGTACATGCTAGGGCCTGGTTTCAATTCCTGCCTTTACCCATGTGTTAATTGTTCCTCTTAGTCTCAGTTTTTAATTCAAAGTAATTATGTCAACTTTCAAAGGGTTTTGTGTGTTTATTTTTATTGACATGTAATTCCGTATTATACAATTTACTCAAAGTTTTCATTGAATTAATGTATATCCTGGAACTTCTTACAGGGATTGGTCATTAGTAAGTACCCTGAAACGAATAGAGGATAGTTATTTTAAAAGTGTTGATCATGATGCTATTAGAATTGGCATATAAGGATTTGAGTGTATATGTTAGTTTGCTAAAATGCTGCAGTGAATTCTAAGAGGCCAGGCAGTTGGTTGCTTAATAGTTAAAGAGTTAAATAGACACAGGTCTCGGCAGGGTTTGTTCCTTTTGAGGGCTGTGAGGGAAAGAGAGGTTCTAGGCCTCTCTTGGTTTGTGCTGGATGCCTTCCCATCTCCTCATAGCATCTTTCCCATGTGTTATAGATACAGATCTATCCCTTCTCTAAGGTTCTATTCTATGTATGGCTCACCCTGATGACTTCAGTTTAACCTGGCTGTTATGCTGACTAATTCTGAATGCCAGTGTGAAAACATCTGGTATCCATGATCGTCCATGCAGCTGGGTACTTCTGTGAGGGTTTTTTCTTTTTCTTTTCTTTTCTTTTTTTTTTGAGGTTTTTTTCTTGATATGATCATTTGAGGTGAGATAACACACTCTTAATCTGGTGCCAGCCCATGTAAAAGGCCACAGAAGAAGGCGGTGTTTTGCTTTTGGCCAGCTTGCGCTTACCTCTCTCTGCACGTTCATCTGCCCTGCTTCAGAGGCGTTGTGTTGATGGTGTTAGAACCTGCTTCAGGATTCCAGTGTAGACTGATGATCAGTGGCTCTCTAGGGCTCCAGCACCAGGTTAGGACTGCAGACTGACCACTCTTGTTCTTTCCATTCTGAAATAGCCATTGTTTGATTAGTGGGATCACAGCCTATGAGTAAATCCCCCTTTGATAGATATTCATTCATTCTATCAGTTCTGATCCCCTAGAGCAGGAGTTCTCTCCAGAAAATTTGTATTACGATTCGTAACAATAACAAAATTACAATTATGAGGAGGAGGTGTGTCACTGGGCATATGCTTTGCCACCCACAGCATTCCCAGTTAGCTTGGGCACCTCCCCTCCCCTTTTCCCCTCCCTTCTGTGTGGGTCACTCTGTTTCCTCTTTCTCTCTCTTTGAATTATTTCATGAATTATTTTATGATTTTTCTTTTATATTCTGTGTCCTGAGGTTCATCTAGACATTTTTGAGAATGTTTTTTTTTAAATATTTATTTATTTATTATGTATACAATTTTCTGTCTGTGTGTATGCCTGAAGGCCAGAAGAGGGCGCCAGACCTCTTTACAGATGGTTGTGAGCCACCATGTGGTTGCTGGGAATCGAACTCGGGTCCTTTGGAAGAGCAGGCAATGCTCTTAACCACTGAGCCATCTCTCCAGCCCTTGAGAATGTTTTTATAGGACCGGTGGAATTGTGGGGAGATTTTCTGACTTGGCCGTTCATATTTGTGCTGTTGCTATGAGACCTGGGCATGTCTTTCGTAGGTGCGTCTCTCACGTGAGTTTCTAGGCTGCCTGTTTAGAGGAAGTTTGTCTTGTCATTGTCCAAGTTTGACTGACTTCAGGTCAG